CCAGAAGAGTGCAAACCCCAGTCACTGCAGCTGCCTCCTATTTACAAGCTGTGAGATTTATTTAGTAGGAGCTCTTCAAGTGGCAATAGGCTGGGCTTGAGTTATGAATTGCTAAACCCATCCATCCATCACAGCACTGCCCAAAATCACTCTCTGAATGCAGGCAGGAAATGTGCCAACTGTCACAAACATGCTCGATGTCTCTCTTTTGACACAGCAAGAAAACAGCAAGGAAATAAATTTCAAGCATTAGGTAGTATTAAGACTTTTTAGAGGGAGCCATCCAAATGAAAACCCATAATAAAAATAATAATTATCAGGGGAACCATTTGCTTTCAAAGTAATCATGCAAAGTAAAGCACAGAATATGTCCTAAGTAGCAAAAAACAGTGATTTCAGTTCAGAGGGAGAAAGGAAGTCTAGCACTTGAGAATGTAAGTGCTTTGTACATGATCGGTTCTTGATGGGTTTTCTCAGAAATGGGCCTTCATGTATTGTATGTAAAAAAGAGAGGAAAAATGGGAGCTGTTAGGTGATGAATGCAGGCAAAGGTGTGATGAGGCTGGCATTGGGTTACTGAGCTGGGAAGTTACCTGTCATTCCCTTCATTTTCAAATCGTTTCAGCTGGGGTTGGGTTGCAGGAATTTTCAGTGGAATATTAACACTGTGGGAAGGCATTTAGAAAGTTCCAGGGAATTTAATGGATAATTTCTAATGAAGGGGATTTCAACTTTTTTTTTTTTTTTAATTAAGCTAGCAGCTAGTCCAGCAAATGTCTTTCATATATTCTTATTATTTCTGGTGTAGTTACAGAATTTAATATGAGGAGAAACATTTCCAGCATGTCTTTTCATATTTGTTTTTCAAATTTGCTTACTGAGTTTGTGGTATATTTTACCTGCCACAGATTTTTTCTTTGTTTGGTCTCAGCTGCCTGAAATTTTAATTTCCAGGGAGCACCTCTAAGATTAGACTAAAATTGTCATTTTTTCATTTGATCCTGTTAATTGTTTAATGGCTTTGCCACACTGGTTACACTGAGCTTCTGATTGTGATCCTCAGCACTGATTGCTGCGGATTCCTGTGGTTTTGGTGGTGGACATCTACAAGAAACCTTGGTTTTCTTTGTGGCTGCAGCAATTCTGGGCTCCTCAGCCTGCATGAGCTGCACTGGCCTTAAATTTGGTTTATCAGAGTTCAAATCCAACTCGGAGTATGAAACATATTTGAAAAACCAAACAGAACTTGGAATGGAATAGGTGGGTTACAATAACCTGGATTCCATCCCTCCACAGTGCCCATAGCAGAAGCTTTGGTAATTTTGGATAACTCCAGTCAGTGTGCTCTGAGGCAGTTGTAGATTGGGTAAAGCCTTGTAGAAGTGCTGAATAAACATCTGAGCTTGCAGGGATGAGCTGGCTCCCCTCAGCAGCCCTGCACCCCAGTAATGGCTCTGTTTGCTGTCCCCAGGAGCACCAGCCTGTTCCACGAGGTCGTGCAGCTGGAGTTTGAGATCGCCAGCTTCAGCAGCCTGTCGGGCACGCAGCCCATCAGCTGGCAGGTGGAGTACCCCCAGCACGGCTCCTCGGAGCCCGCCCTGGCCGAGATCTTCATCTGCCAGAAGGACCTGGTGGGCATCGTGCCCCTGGCCATGGTAAGAGTCCCTCCCAGCCCGTGCCCACCCGTGCTGAGCCAGGCAGGGCCGGCAGAGAGTGCTCCCTGCCCTGCCACTGCCTCTGGAAACATCCTCACCCTGCCCTGGGCGCAGCACCCAGGTCCTACACTGACCCCACAGGAGAGGGATGCTCCGAGGGAAGGGATGCTCAGAAGGGAGGAATACTGAGAGGGAAAGGATGCTGAGAGGGCAGGGATGCTGAGAGGGAAAGGATACTGATAGGGAAGGGATGCTCAGAGGGATGGGATGCTCAGAGGAAGGAATACTGAGAGGGAAGGGATGCTCAGAGGGATGGGATGCTCAGAGGGATGGGATGCTCAGGAAGGAGGAATACTGAGAGGGCAGGGATGCTGAGAGGGCAGGGATGCTCAGAGGGAAGGGATGCTGAGAGGGAAGGGATGCTCAGAGGAAGGGATACTGAGAGGGAAAGGATACTGATAGGGAAGGGATGCTCAGAGGGATGGGATGCTGATAGGGAAGGGATACTGAGAGGGAAAGGATGCTGAGAGGAAAGGATTCTCAGAGGAAGGGATACTGAGAGGGAAAGGATGCCGAGAGGAAAGGATTCTCAGAGGAAGGGATGCTGCCTCTTCAACCATCTCCCTCATGTTTAAACCCTCAGTTTCTTGGCTTTTCCCACAAAACCCAGTAGATTTTTTCTCATTGCCCTGAACTTGCAACTCCTTAGGGCTTCAAGGACCTCCTGCTCAAGGCCAGGCTGCTTGGTCCTTGGTAGGCTGAGGCTGGTACTGGTTCTTCTGCCTGATGACCTAATAGTGTAGGAACTTCTGGTTTGAGGTCAAAAATAGAAAACAGTAATAGCCTCAATAGTATATTTAAGAATCATGAAGTGCAGACTTTCCTGTGGGTAAATGGTTTGGGTTAAAATCTGCTCTCTCTGCTCAGTGTTTTTGGAAAACAAGGAATTTCACTGGATTCTCCAGCATGTCAGCTGTGCTGTTGTTGGGCAGGCATTTTATTTTCTGTTGCTCAGGATCTGGAAGAAGAGTTGGACATTGCTCTGTGCTTCTTGTGAATGTTGTCCCTCCAGTGCATCATCTTGGTGGCACAATTCTGGCAGCCTTTTCTTTGAACAATGTTCAGCAGATAATTAGATGAGTATTATTTCCTGGAAGTCCCAGTCTTCAATATATTCTTCCCCTTTGAAGAGTGAAACTGCTGCTCATATCAAATGAGGTCATGGCCAGCAATTTCCTGATCCACAGTCTGCTAAGTCAGCAGAAAGGCTGCACTGCATTCCAGATCTGAGGGGGAAATAATTGTCCTCATTACCTGTCAACTTGAACAGGGAGTATTTATTGGAGCATCTGCCCTCTAAGGGCTGGAGAACGTGCATGAAGCAGAATTTTTGTGGTCAGATTTTATTTTGAGATAGGTGCCTTCCACTGCCAAACAACAGACATGCGTCTGCTGGCAGACTTTGTGTCTTCTTGCTCTTTTCATGAAAGAATTCATCAGCTTCTCTCTGTATTCCATATCTGGGGGAATGGAGATTCTGATATCTCCTGTCAGGGTGTGATGCCTCTGCTCTTGCATACAGGGTTCTTGCAGACTTGTGTCTATCCTGCATTAAAATTCCTCTGCCTGCGAGGGTTCCTGTAAGAACTGGAGGTCTAAAAGGACGAGTTTAGTGTTGTATAAATCATGTAAGGCAAGATCCTTTATTCCCAGCAGATTGCCAGTGGGCACTGTGGGTTCAAACAGAGGGTTCAAACAATGAAATCATTAAACCTTTCTCTCCACAAAGCTTTCTTGTGTTTATCTCATTGCTGTGCCTTGTGATAACACTTAGCCAGAGCCAAAATACACTGTGTTAACAGAATGCAGCTGGATGGAGCAGCAGAGCACAATTGGCTTTAGTAGCAGGATGTTGTAGATAAAGGGAATTTCACTTCTCTCTCAGCTAACCCTGCACACCCAGCCAGGGTGCGCCCTCCGTGCAGGCATTAATCCCCAGCTGAGCTGGTTACCTGGCAGTCCCTGCAAGCACAGGGGGTGACCTGGCCCTGCTGGGAGGCAGCTCAGCCTCTGTGTCTGCCCTGCCCAGCACAGCACAGCACAGGCTGTGTCCAGAAACAGCATCTCAGCGTTGAGCAGCAAGTGGGCTTTGTGATCCCCTGGGGAAAGGAGATTTTGTTGATTTAAGCATGGAGAGTTCCAGGGTAGAGCTGCAGACATGCAAAGTCAAAGCTGTCGCTGCACATTTTTAAAGGTGAGCAGGAGAAGGAGCTGCCCAAGGACACTGCAGTGTCCCAGCTGTGGGGCTGCTCAGCTCCTGCCCCGCTCTGAGGGACACCTGGAAGGTCTCTGAGCAAACTTTTCCTGCTTTGGGTGGAACTTGGATAAAGGCTGCTCTGACCCATGGACTAGAGCTGGTCTCCTGTGAGCCATTCCAAACTTATGAAGCAAGAAAGATCATGTATCTTTTATTGCCCTGTGCCCGATTACATTACAGAAAGAGTTGTAAGATGAAAACCAAGTGGTCTTCAAAGATTAGTGCAACTGTTGCTATGGCATTCTGAAAGAGATTAAAGAATTGACATTGTCAGCAAGACCTGAACCTGAAATTCTAAAATAGCCTTGTAGGGCTTGGCTCAGTGGAGCAGGGGGTAGGGTAAATCAGCAGATCCATCTGCTGATGGGAGCTGATGCACCCTGGTACAAACTGAGTCCTTCCCCTGTGGAAGAGCATCCTGTGAGCTCTGCTTGGTCCAGGCTCCAGTGGGCACACACAGTACCCTGGCAGTGCCAGCATCAGTGTGCGGCCGAGACTCTCAGCTGCTCCTCAGGCACTGCAGTTCCTCGTGTGCCTTTTGCTCATTGTGCTTGGTTGGTGTGTTTCTGTGCATCCTGAACTCACAGTGTTGGTGCTCCTGCTGCAGCACCCACTGCAGAGCTGTGACTCAGCCAAAGCCACTTTTTGACAGTTTTATGCGTGTTTGTTAACTGGCTTTCCATTACAACAGAGTGATCAAAACCTTAGCTCCCAAAGCGCTGTTGTTTTATATACACATTTATGTCTGCTGTTCCCTAAGGGAAGGAATTTTTAAGGTATTTCATTGTAATGAAGTCCCTGCAATACCATTTTAAAATATGGACCTGAATAAATAGAGTTTTCATCCCTGCACAGTGTGTGAGTTCACACCATAAAGCTCTATCTAGTTCAAGGGCACACAAGTGCAGAATTCTCACTCTGGTTCATCTTTCACTCTTTGGTGAAGTGGAGGCAACAGGCACAGAGGAGCTTTCCAGAAGGAAAAATCCATTTCCTGATTTGCTTATCACAAACAAACAAACGAACAAACAGATCATCCACGTGCCAGACTTTTCAGCTGACAGGTATTGTCTCAGATAATTCAGTTATGACTCACATGAAATAAATACTGGGAGCTTAGGAAATTTATTTTATGCAAAATGGAGCTATTCTATTAATAGTGCTGACTGGGACAGCTTGGATCAGCTCTGCAGCCCTGAGCAGAGCCTGAAGTCAGGAGATTTCAGAGTTTGTGTGGAAGAGCAGAGTCCCAATGTCCTGGTGAGAAGGGACAGAGATGCTCCTGTGCCTCCCCCAGTGCAGGCTGCTCTAAAGGACAGCATTGCTTCCTTCAGGTTTGGGGGGAAGGAATTGCACTGATTGTGCATAAATTGTTGATACCAGCTGAGGGCTCTGCACCTGCCAGTGTGTGTCACACAGGGACTGGGACCTGCAGTGCTGACTGATTCACCTTAGCTGGGGAGAATTGGCTTTTTGTGCTGCCTGCCCATCAGGAAACAAAAGCAGAACATGGACAAACTGTTGTTCATTCATCTCAAATTGGTCAGAAGGTGCAGACAGCATAAAGAACCCAAAATTACTCAATTTAATGCTGCCTTTTTAAGTTCTAGAGATCATTTCTACAGCCCTTGCACTTTGCCTCCAGCTTCTGTTTCCCTCCATTTACTGCATTCCTGCTTTGTACGGTCACATTGAGCCCTACCTTTGCAGGAAATGAGAATGGATCAGTAGGGCTGGCCCAGCTGGCTGCAATGAGTATTTCCATTGGTCCAAGCTGTATGCCATTTTCTATGAGTATGTGCAATTTCCTCTTGAGTATCTCCAGTCTGACAGTGCTGTGGGATGAATTACTTTGGGATTTTTAAGATGCTGAGGAGAGGTGGGGCCAGCTAACTTCCAGATTTTCAAAGATCTCTGAGAAATGTTAATGTGAGGCTTAATAGATGCTTCTTAATCTTGACAGGAGGCAAAGTCTGCTAAGCAAACAAATCATTGCAGAACAACAAGAATGTTCAGGGAGACACAAAATAAATTATTGGCTGCTGGGTGTGCAGAATGCTCCCCTGGAAGAGGAGTGTCAGAGACCTCTGGAGAATTCCGTGTGTGAGCCCAGCTGATCCAAGTGAGGGGCTGGGCCAGGGTTCAGTGGAACTGAGCTCTGAAGGGGAGAGGAGGGACAGCAGGGCTGCCAGGGGGACACTTGGGTCAGCTCCTGGCACTGCACTGTGTAACGTGTGAGATCTGGAGGCTGTGTTGTCCTGTGGTGTATTTTGGGGGTGGTTTGAAGTGTTGCTTCAGCTCTGTGGTAGTGCCCCACCAGAAGAAGACATCTCAGACAGCAGTGAGGATTTGAAGTGACAGCTGATTTAAATTCGGGCTGTTGAACACAGAGGCAATATTGCAGCTGCCACACGTGCCAGCAGAGTGAGCCTGCTCAGGAGGACTCCCCAGGGCTGGCCTTGGTGCCGGAGCGGCTCAGGACTGCAGGTGCTGTGCCCAGCCCAGAGCAGATGGAGGAGGGCAGGGGGCACTGCCAGCAGGGGCAGAGCAGCTCCAGAGGCTGCTGCTGGCAGATGTTTGCAGCTGGCAGAGAGCAGGAGTGGAAGGCAGGGGGGTTCCTCACTGGTGATCAATCTGCAGTTCAGGCAGTTCAGGCTTTGCAGAGCTCAGCCATGGCCAGCCC